CCTCAGTCCATACTGAAGGCTGCAGTCCTTGACCCTCTGCAGTAAGTGCATGAGATCCTCCTCAGTTTCAGCGAGCAGGGTTGTGTCATCTGCATAACGCAGATTGTTAATAGGTCATCCACCAATCCTAATGCCATTCATGATACAATTACAATTTTGTAGTAGAATATTATAATGACATGACAAAAAAAATTGTGAGGTTGAGGTAAGGTTTTCTGAAATCTCCAGTGTCCAAAAGAAAGTGAAACTAAGAGGAAATCCTATTTCCCTTTTGATTTCAAAGTTGCCTTGCTTATATCAATTTTATGAAGTTGGTTTCTGTGTATATTTTTTGCTTGATGAAAGAGTTTAATTGTTAAATTCTCTATTCCTTTTTTAAGAGTTTTTAAAATTGTGATTTTAATGAAAGTTTACAAAAAACTTGGATTTCCATTCATTCATTTTTGTGTGTTCCTCCATTCCTCCCTATGTTCTCCTTTCTCTTTAAAAAGTTCATTCATTGTTGCAAAATCTCCTCTCTCCCCTCAACCCCAGTCCACTTTGCTGTGTACCTCTTATTCTGGACTGTAGTCATGCAAATAATGCCTAATCATATATTCCTTTTAAAGAATTCTTTCCCTCATCTGTTCCATTGCCGTCTTCATTATTTACCCCCCCTTTTCTTAGTTTCCCCACAAACCTCCAATGCTAGTCCTGCTTTATAATAATGGGATTACGCAGTATTTGTCCTTTTGTTACTGATATATTTCGCTCCGTTTAATGTTCTCCAGGGTCATCCATTTTGTAGAATATTTTATGGGTTCCTTGTTTTTCAGTGCTGCATAGTATTCCATTGTGTGAATATACCACAGCTTCTCTAACCATTTGTTTTTTGATGGGCTCTTTACTCCTTTTAACCCAGACTTTCATTTTAAAAGCTAGTAGTCTGAGTCTTGCTATCACAATACCCATCAGTAATGGAACTATACCAGAACCTGTTTATTCTTAGACTGGAACTTGCTTTCTCTCAGTCACCTTTTTTATTTATAGACTTGGTGAAAAGATCTCAACTTTCAAGATCAACACAAGCATTGAGGAACATACATGTTTACTTGCTTCCAAACATTGCTTTTTCCTTATTTTCTGGATCTTCATATTCCAAAGCTTATAGTATCACAGTTTTTGTGTACATTTGGCTCCTGTGTCCAGAAGCCCCACAAAAGTGTCTTCTCCACTCCAGGCAATTTTACTTAAACATGCACTTATGATCGTGAGTCCCCTGGGTAGACCAGAAGTCCCTGGCCTTCTTGTCAATTCCTGTGTTGATCTTCTGCTCTGGTGATTCCAGGTGGGGCTTCCTATCATTAATTATCTCATTATTGGGATGAATAGAGTGGACTTGTTTTTGCCTTCTTGATGTTAGAGGAATAGAGGGAGTTTTCATTGGCCCAACCAACTTCCTAAACTTCCTATAGAGCTGCCTTAGGACCTTTTCTCAACTCCATCAATGTCTGTTATGTTCACCCCATTTCTGAGGCACTATCTAAAAATATTCACACTGTTAGGGTAAATCTTTTCTCCACAGTGTTTTCCCATTTGTCTGTGAATTCATTAGAATTCATTCTGCAAGCTTCGTACCAGACTATTTACTAAAAGGCAGAGGTCAACAGTGTCCCAGATGTTTGAAATAATTTCTAGCATCTGTTCCTCCATTTACTTCTCCCACTCCTTTATGTCTCTTGGGCTCTTTCTTTCACCAGAAGGTCTTATAGAAACTGAAAACTCCTCAGGAAATGACTTTCATGGCTGTGGGTGACGTAGGCCAGTGCAGCAGGGACTGGTGAGCGATGGGCCAGAATCCTGCGACTGTCAGTTGCAGAACAACTGGATGCTGTGTCCCAGCAGTCATACCAAAGAGAGCAAGCATTGCACTTCCATGAGCTCTCATAGGCTTCTCAGAGGGTATCTTGCTAGGTGAGGCTGTGCCTTATCATGTTTGGAAAGCAAGGAAGACACCTAAGGAGATGGATTGACATAGTGACTGCAGCAATGGGTTCAAGTGTGTGGGAGGACGGCACAGGATAGGGCCGGGTTCAAGTCTGTTGTTCATGTGGCTGCTATGAGTCATACTCAGCTCTATGATATCTAACAACAACAGCAGTAGAACAGAGCTTGTATCCCAGCCTATTCCCATGTCAATACAATAAATACTTCATCACTATATGGGAGGCTTTGGATGAAAGAGCCACATCAGTTCATCATACCACAGTTATTCAAGAAACTTCCTGATTTAAAAAGACTCTGACACAGAAGGTTAAGACTTGCAATTGGAAAAATGTGAAAATTTTGATCAAAGACAGAACAGATACATTCTAAAGAAAATCAGGAGGTACTGTGACATCTGCATTACTTAGTGTCATTTTATATTGTCTTCAGAGCACAGATTGATAGTTGAAGCTGATTTTATTAATCTTGCTTCTCTCATTAAGATATGAATTTCAGGAAACCAAACAAATTTTCAACTGTGGGGTTTCATCTTATTTTCATTTTTCTTTTGATTTAACATCATTTGAGCTTTACTTACTTTATTGCTGAGAAAGAATGTGTGAGAAATTATAAATGAAGTTTTCAAATAAAGGTTAGGAATTTAATATGATACTTCTTAATATAAGAAAAAAATGTTCTAGGGAGCTCTGGTAGCCTAGTGGCTAGAAGCTGCACTGCAATCCCAGAGGTCCATGGTTCGAATCCACCAGATGCTCTGCTGGAGAAGGAGGGGCAATCTCCTCCTGTACCAATTAGATCTGATTTGACAGTACACACACACACACACACACACACACACACTAAAATTTTTAAAAAGTTCTAAGATTAATAAAACATTTTTTTCCTCTCTGTGTAAAGTGCTTCTTAGTTTCTGTATTCTGTTAAGCCTCTTTCCTAAAAGCCACATAATTAAAGTTATCCATTAAATCCTTTGGTCTTCTATTGGTGTGCCCATAAAAATTATGGCTTATGGTGTGTGTATGTGTGTGATATTTCAGAGGCTTTATAATTGATGCTACAAATATAATGAGAAATGATTAGTCATCCTTTTCAAGGGAAAAAGAACTCATCAGGAATCAGTATCTGTCAGCAAGCCCAAGAGGTGTTTATAATTTATGAAAGACCAGTATCTTATGGTTAGATCATCAAACACAGTAACTCCTTGGCTCAAGTATTAATGAATGCAGATTCTTTTGTTTAAGTCCAGTGAATTGAAAAGGAAGATACGAAACTGATCAAATCTTCTTTATTGTATAAATGGAGACGGTAGTTACTCCCTGTACAGTGGTTAGGATGAAAAAGTTTTACTGTTTTGAAATGACAGCCTCCCAGTGACTCTTCACGTGTCCTTCTCAATGTCTCACTCCTTGAAAGCATGTGCACAAGTCAGTCAGATTTGAGTACATCAGCTGCTGCCTGCTTCTGGCCTTTGCAACTTCTATCTCTGCCAAACTACCTCATTCCAAAATCCCTCCAAACTGAGCCAGCCATTGTTTTAAATAACGACAAAGGGCCATGGTTTTTCCGATCATTTGCTATGCATCTGAGAGCTGGAAAATGAATAAAGATGACAGAAGAAGAATTGATGCTTTTGAGCTGTGATGCTGGAGAACAGTACTGAACAGCCATCCCATGGACTACCAAAAGAACAAACAAATATGTCTTGGGCAGGGTGCAGAGTGCTCTGTGGAGGCAAAGGTGATGAGACTTCACCTCATATACATCGGGCATGTTGCTAGGAGCGGCTGTTACTTTGAGAGGGACCCGATGCTTGGAAAAATAGAGGGTCAGTGAAAGAGAGGAAGACCCTTGACCATGTGGACTGACCTGGTGATTAAGATAGTGGGCTCTTGTGTGTCAGGAAGTGTGAGGATGGCACCGGATAGAGCAGGGTTCAGATCTGTTATTCATAGGGTCGCTAGGAGTCATATTTGACTCGATGGCACCTAACAACAGCAACAATCGTCTTCACCTATTGGGAACTGAAGCCAGCACTGTTCTCAGCTCATTTCATGGATAGACAAAATAGGCATGAAGTAGACCTTTCTAGTTCACATGTTAATGTTCTTCATGTCTGTTTAGCTCTCTCAACTTTTTAGTTGTATATTCTCATGGACGTATTTAGTATGAAAAGAAAACATCATGCCACTTTTCTGCAGGGGAAGTAACGCCTTTGCCTCCTTTTCTGACTGTAGGGTTTCCAGCAGTATTTGTTGCAGTCTGGGCTGTGGCACGAGCAACCCTGGCTGATGCAAGGTGAGTGTCAGTGCAGAGAAGAAGGGACGTCAGATTTTCTCCAGAGTTGGACTGTCTTGTTAGGAATTCACAATCTGTGCTGTTTTTAGTGACACTGTCCCTTAGCGGTGTTAAGTGGAAAATTGCCTTGACCCAGTGGTGGTGGTCGGCACTGTTGGATTGTCTCCAACTCACAATGTCTGTGTCTAACAGAGTGAAACCTACCTGATCACGTTCAACTGCTTCCGCTTGTTGCATCCACCTTGGCAGAGTCCATCTCTTCAAGGTCTGCCTCTTTTTTTGGCAACTCTACTATTTGTGAGCTCTTTTGTGCCTAGTGTAAGGAGTTGGGCTGCTACACCAGAGGCCTGTGGCTCGAATCCACCAGCTACTTCATAGGAGGAAGAGGAACAGCCTCCTCCCAGTGATTTACAGCCTCTGACAACCCAGGGGAGGGTGAGTTAGGAGGGGGTTCCCACTCAGTGACACGTAACAACACCTATCCTTCTTCAGGGACGGGCCTTTCTTGATAATTTGCCCAAATTAGGTCCCCCATGGATCCCCAGCAAGCTATCTTGAGATGTCATAAAATGTATAAGCTCAAAGACCAGAATAATATACTAAAACCCTATAGCTTAGGGAATGAATTTACACCAGTGTTAAAAAACACACCAGGAGAAACAACTGGAAAGATATTGACAAGCTAACATTTAGGATAGGGTGCAAGCAGATGGCAGGACTATGCCTAAGTCTCACTGCATATGTTCTTGTGTACATTGAGTCACGCACAACTCATAGTGACCCCGTGAACAGCAGATCTGAACCTTGTCCTATCCTGTTCCATCCTCACCCTTCCTCACATACTGAGCCCTTTATTCATATATACTGTCTTCCGTGATGTGGTTACAAAGACCTGAGCTGGGCTCAGGCAAGGTGTGGCGACACAGATAGAAGATGTTCTGGGCCTACCGTCTGTCCTAAAAGAGAGACACAGGGACAGGTGCACTTGGCCATGGCAGTGACTTTCCATTAGTCCATCGAGCACCTTTTGATTTTGTATTTATTAGTCAAAAGACATGTGTTAATGGGCATCATCAATCTGTCGCTTAATTAAAAACTCAAAAATCCCGAGCATGTCAGTTATTTTGTGCCCCTTGTGTATTTAGTAAAGAGCCCTGGTCACACAGCAGTTAAAATGCTTGACTGTTGATCTAAATATCAGTTATTTAAAATCATCATCTGTTCCATATACACATCTTGTATGTATAAATATGAAGCAGTCTGCTTCTATAAGGATTTATAGCCTTGGAAATTCTATAGTGCAATTCTGTCCCATTTTGTGGGGTCTCTGTGCATTGAAATGGACTCAGTGGCAGTGGATTTGGTTGTATGTTTAGTTTACAGTGAATTTAATATTAAGTTTCCAGAGGAAGACCCTCAACCAGGTGGATTCATTTAGTTGACTGCAGCATTGGGCTCGAGTGTATGATTGTGAGGACGGCACAGGATCGGACAGGGCACAGATCTGTTCAAAGAAAGTTTGCTGTGAGTCGTTTTCAACTCAACAGCACCTAACAACAACATATCTGAATATGTTTAATACTCCTGGAGTTGTTCTTGTTAGATGGGGCCAAGATGACTACAATGCGTAGTAACCCTAAACAACAGATCTGAACCTTGCCCTCTCGTGCCCCAGCCTCATTAACATACATATGTTCTATTCATTGTTGTTGATTGTTGTCCAGCCAAGCATGATGCATAGCAACCTTAAGAACAAAAAGGCCTGAAGCCTTTCTGTTACTATCATCATTTATCAAAGTTCATAGAGTTTCCAGAGGCGTGTTGTTTAGGAAGTGGATGCCACTCCTGATTAGCTACCCTCAACATATGTATTATTCATTATCTGTTTATTGACAATAATAAAAAAAGGTGAATCTTATCTATGGTCTTTATTTTCTTGTTTTCTACAGTAAAATTAAATATTTTTCAGTGGTGAAACAAATGCATATTGGAAGTGCAAACATTTTTTTTCCTGAATCACTAGGCTTTTCCAAGTAGTGTAGGGTTAATTTAATGGTACAATTAAAAGCACAGGCAACAGTGCTGGCTGGTGATAAAGAACTCGTTCAGGATTTCTTAAGCTGGAGAAATTGGAGAGTAAATTGAATCCTTGAGTTGCAATGCTTAAGGATGCTATGAGAAGGCTGTTGAATTATTCAGGAAACATCAAAAGAAGCATTTTTTAAAAAAAAGAAGGTTACACAGAGTCACTGTACCAAAAAGAACTGGCTGACACAGAAGTTTTCATGAAAAAACTTATGTTTAAGAGGCACTGCTGATGAAGGAGGAAGTTAAAGCTGCTCTGAAGGAATTGGGAGGGGGGAAGGCCCCAGGAATTGACTTATTTCAACTAACAGATGCAGTCCTCCAAGTGCTCACCAGGCTGTGCCATATTTAGTCCCATTCCAAAAAAAGATGATCCAGCAGTGCATGGAAATTATTGAACAATGTCACTAATAACACACACAAACAAAATCCTTCTGAAGATTATCCAAAAATGACTGGAACAGTGTGTCGACAGAGAAATACAAGCTGGCTTTAGAATAGGCTGTGGTGCTAGGGACATCATTGCCAATGTCAGATGGATCTTGGCCAAAAGCAGAAAATACCAGAGGAGTGTCTGCATTTTCTTGACTATGTAAACACATTTGACTGTGTGGATCACAACAAATTGTGGCTAACCTTGAGAAGAATGGGAATCTCAGAACACCTGATTGTGCTCAAGTGAAACCTATAATTAGAGGCAGATGTCGGAACAGAGCACGGGAACACTGCATGGTTCAAAATCAGAAAAGTCAGTCATAGATGTGTTCTGTCTTCATACCTTTTCAATCTTTATGCAGAACAGATAATTTTAGAGGCTGGATTTTATGAGGAGGGATCAAGATAGGAGGAAGACTAATAAAAAGCCTGTGTAATGCAGATGACACAACCTTAACTTTTGAAACTGAGGAGGTGTGAAGCATTTGCTGCAGAGGGTCAAGGACTGTACTTCGCAATATGGATTGAAGCACAATATCAAGAAAACAAAGATTCTCGTCACTGGACCAATTGGCTATAGAATGAACACTTACCTAAGATTTTTGTCACTCATTAATGAAGAAAGTATTACAGTCAGTAATATAACCAGTTCAACAGAGAAATTAAAAAGTCACTCTTTATTGGTATTGAAGTAAATGTTGACATAAGTTATAAACAAATACAAATACTTGTTACTCTCCGCAGAGTGTTAAATCAGTTCACCAAGTGGACATGGCTAATTTGCATTTCTATGGATAAAAATAGCTTGCATTTTTGTTGGTATTATACAGCTTTAGGGAGTTATAAATTAGAATTGCTACCATTTATAAATTAGAATTGCTACCATTTCAGAAAGTGAGAAGACTTTCTCTGTGGTTTCAATTATTTTGCTTTACTTTAGTGATAATATAAGTAAAGTTTCAATTTCATCACATTTCCAAGCCAGAACACCAAACCCATGGCTGTCCAGCCTGATCTACCTCAAGGCATCTCTATAGAATTTCCTCCCAGGATTTTACAGGTAGGAATCTGTAAGTAGTGCGGACTGCCACATTTTTCTCCTAAAACTCCCTGCTTGGAACAGTCATTCTATGTTTTTTGACTCTGGAATGTGTTTTTGACTTTTGACTATTTAAGACTTATTCACCAGCATTTCTAATATCCTTCCTATACCCAGTGAAAGCCTTCATATGAAGGATTGACACAGTGTGTGAACAAGAGGCTCGCACATAGCCAAGTATGACAAAAGGACCAGAGTGGTTTTTTTTTTTCTGTTGTTACATAGGCACAGTGTCACTATGAGTCCAGAGCTAACGGAACTTGATGTCAGCTAATGGAAACAACATATTGTCAAAGATTATCTAGTTGTATGGAAGTGAGGACCCATTAAGCATGAAGTGTGGTATTGGTGAAGAGTACTGATGAGGGCTAAAGGAGCAAACACATCGGTTTTAGAAGAAGTGCAACCAAGGTTTTCCTTAGAGGAAAGGATGGTGAATCTCAAATACTTTGGGCATGTTTTCAGGAGGGGTCAGTCCTTTGGAAAAGACATCATGCTCAGAAAATTTGAAGGTCAGTGAAATAGAGGAAGACTCTCCACGAGTGGATTGACAGACTATCAGAGGGAGTGATGATGGCACAGGATGGGCCAAAGTTTCGATATTCATAGGGTAGCCGTGAATTGTAGTTGACAGTACCTAACAATGACAGTTGAGGTGGGTTTGGTTGGATTTTTTTCTTATTCAGAAACTTATCATTCGGGTTTTTGATAAAATACAAATTATTACTAAACTCTCTCTGCCTACTTACTTGATTTGTCAATTTATTCATGCAAACTGTGCTTTGTTTTTGTTTTGTTACTTTTCTTTCCCATGTCTCAGGTGCTGGGAACTTAGTGCTGGAGAAATTAAATGGATTTATCAAGCTCCAATCCTAGCAGCTATAGGGGTAAGTTTAAAAGCTTATATAGTTGTTTTGAGTTTTGGGTTTGTTTTTTTTTTTTTTTAAAGGGATGACTAAACAAATAACTGCTAAAACTCAGAAACAGAAGTGTGTTACTTAATTCTCCCCCAGGTTTGGGGATGTCTATTCAGCAACAGCTATTTGTGAGTCTAGGCCAAGATAGAAGCTTAACTCCTGGCTGACACTGGAGACCAGGCAGAAAACACATGTCCACGTTTAATGAGGCACCAAAAGGGGACAGATATTTAGAGTGTTCTGTGATTAGACCATTGGGAGGTCTTAGAGCTATTTCCCCTTTTAATCAATGACATGTCCACTTTACCATTCCAAGCACCTGACAGTAGGTTAGAAGGAGAGGAGGCAAAGACAGACTCTGAGAGCAGTAGAATTGCTGAGAGAGAAGACTGGATTCCAAGGACACTATTTTGCTTAAAGTTAAAAAGACTGTAGCTTTTGGAGAAAGATTTGCTTTCAAGGAACTAAGTTCTTTCACATCTGCTTTGGAAGTTGCTACTGTTGTTGACTATGAGTAGATTCCGACTCATAGCCACACTGTATGGTAGAAGAGAAGGGCCCTTCCCCAGGTGTCCTAGGCAGCAAATGGACAGATCTGTTCTTCCATGGAGCCATTGGGTGGCCTTGAACGACACTCTTTTTGTTAACAGATGAACCCTCAGGCATTACACCACCAGGCCTCTTTTCGCCCCCCTTTTCTATAACTGGATATGAATAACAAGTACAATCCACGAGAAAGAAAGTAGTAATAAGGAAAATAATCCCATTTATTTAGATCCATTTTTTTCATGAAGGAACTCATCTCCTTCACTAAAGAGTTAATCTTGAAAATAGTAGCCATCAGGGTGTGTCATGATGGAAAGCGATAAAGTCAGGTTTCTCCCTTAGAAAGATCCACTGATACCATGGAAGAGTGAGCTGCATCCATTGAGACTGGAAATGGGGCAGTCAGATAATAATGGATGTCTGCTGGGTGCGGTTCTCAGCCACAGCAGTGGTAGGTGGACGAGGCGTGGGCCCAAGAGGATTTAGGAGGTAAAGAAGGCAAGAACTGAGATTTAGAGTGTTGGATGCTTTGTTCATCTTTACGCCAGAGAGCAATTTTACTCATTTTCATGACCTGATTCTTTCTAAATCATGTCACCTTCCTGTTTAAACCTCAACATCACACTGTAGCCTCTTTCAGTTCATTGGACTTGTTTCCTACCTCAGGCCATTTGCATGTGCTGTTCTGTGGGCCAGACATAATGTTAACCCTGCTCACCACCTGCCTAGTATCTGCCCTTACTGTTGTTCTCAGTACCTTCTCAGACAGATTTTCTCTGAACTCCTTGTCAGAAAAAAAGACCCCTTTCCATTTGTTTTGATATGTGTCTGAGGCTGTAAAGGAAAGCTAATACATCTAGAGGCTTAAATGATTGTTGTTGATTGCCTTCGAGTAGAGCATGACTCATAGTGACTCTATGAACAAAAGGCCTGAAGCAAGTAAGCATAGTTCATAGAGAATAAAAATAGATAGATAATGCAATATATGTGAAGATGAAGACTATCGCAATTTTCACCAGACTAATGAGGAGAAATAGCATCAGAATAGGAACCAACACCTTAGACCTTGAACAGTATCACTTCTTTTTTTTTTTTTAAATTTATGTTGGTTTGCTAACAAAGTTTGTATGCTTTGTGTTTCACATGACCCTTTATTCACATTTTGCTTCATATAATCATGCTCCTTCATTATGTTTATAAAATTAATCAGCCTCAGCATCACTTGGGAGCTCTGGTGGCCTAGTGGCAGGACAGCTGTGGCTGACTCTGAGAAGAATGGGAATCCCAGAACATTTGATCGTGCTAATGCGAAACCTATACTTGGATCAAGAGGCAGTAGTCAGAACAGAGCAGGGAGAAACTGGATGGTTCAAAATCAAGAAAGGGGTCCCTCAGGGATGAATTTTGTCTCCATACCTTTTCAATCTGTATGCAGAACAGATCATTTGAGACGCTGGGCTGTACGAGGAGGCACGTGACATCAGGATTGGTGGAAGAATCGTCAACAACCTGCGTTATGCAGATGACACAACCCTGCTCACTGAAACTGAGGAGGACCTGAAGCACTTGCTGCAGAAGGTCAAGGACTGCAGTCTTCAATATGGATTGAAGCTCAATATCAAGAAAACAAAGATTCTCACCACTGGGGCAATTGGCAGGATCAGTATGGATGGTAGAGAGATTGAGATAGTTAACAGTTTTTGTTTACTTGGCTCCACAGTCAACACTCTCGGTAACAGCAACCAGGAAATCAGGAGACGAACTGCATTGGGAAAGTCAGCTGTGAGGGACCTCTCAAGAGTACTGAAGAGCCACAACGTCAGGCTGGATACTAAGGTGTGCCTGATCCAGGCTTTGCATTTATGTGCTATGCGTCGGAGAGTTGGACAGTGAATAGGGATGATAGAGAATTGATGCCTTTGAGCTGTGGTACTGGAGAAGAGTGTTGAATATACCATGGACTGCTATGAGAACAAACAGATTTGTCGTGGAGAGGGTGAAGCCAGAATGTTCCCTGGAGTCAAGGATTCTCAAGCTTCGTCTGACATACTTTGGGCATGTTGCAAGGAGGGACTGGTCCTTGGAGAGGGACATCATGTTTGGGAGAGTGGAGGGACAGTGTAGGAGAGGAGGACCCTCGATGAGATGGATCGATTCTGTGAGTGGAGTGGTGGGAATGAATATGTTTGAGACGGCGAGGTTGGCACAGGATAGAACGGTGTTTAGGGCTCTTGTACATAGGGTTGCTATGAGTCACAAATGATTCGATGGCACATAACAACAACAGCAGCATTACTTTTGATAGAATTCTATTCAAATGTGTTGGAGGTTTCAGCACACAGTCAGCTTTGCATGTAATTTATATTCAGCCTCTACTCTGTTCTCCCTGGAAGGGCCAGTTCCAAGAAGTTTTGGGATTAAATCAAGTTTCAAGTGAACAAAACAGTCAGGATGTCCTTGAGGCCTCTGGGACTGTTCTCAAGGTCTAGTTGCTAAAATTAAGCAGAACAATATGGTTTTCCTCTTGCCTGTAGGTCTTGAGTTGGTCAAGCATCTTGAGCAGACTTACCCAGATACCATCTAAGTACTTGAATAAAATTTACTCCATTTTAGATTTCCCTCCCCCAAAGCATTATTTAAATTTACTCCAGTTTTAGATTTAGTCTGTACCATTATTTCTGTCTCTAGAAAAGAATAAAATGTCTGATCTGTGAGTTGTGAAATGGGTAGTTCTCCGTTCCTGGATGACAATGCCAACCCTCTCAGGGGCTGCTCCCTCCACAGATGCTGTAGCTTCCGCCTCCATGTACTCCAAAGGCTCAGGGATGCCTCAGGAAGCCCTTATGAGGCCTCTGCAGACACGTAGAAACTCCTCTGTTTAGAGAGTGCTCTCTTCAAGCCAACTAATAGACCTCTACATCACTGTCAAGTTGGAACTGACTCATCACTGGTCATTTCCACTGGGTGTCTGGTTCTGAATCACCTGAAAGATCTTTCTCCTGAAGAGCCCCTGGTAGATTCCATCTGCCATATTGGTTCTTGGGGTTAGCAGTGCAGAGCCCTATGGGCTACACCCCCAGAGCTCCAACATTTGTCTGATTCCTTTAAGAAAAGTTGTAAATAGATCTACCAAAGTGATCTGTCATTTCTTCTTCTTTTGAATTTTTTTTTCTGTTATTTCTTCTTGGTAGGATGAAGGGTTATATTTAGCTAGTTTGCAAAACTTTTAGTAGTACCTGCATTGTTTTTTATTAAAAGGCTTTCTTTATTATCAATAAATTGGGGTCCACAATCAACACTTAATTAACACCAGCAGTCAGGAAATCCAAAAACAAATTGCAATGGAAAAATCTGCTGTCATGGATCTCTCCAGAGTGCTGAAGAGCAGTGATGTCAGTCTAGATACAAAGGTTTGCTTAATGCAGGCCATGGTCTTCGCAGTTACTTATCATGCTTCAGAGAGTTGGACAATGACTAATAAGAAGACAGAAGAAGAATAGATGCCTTCAAATTGTGGTGCTAGAGAAGAGTCTTGAACATACCATGAACTACCAAGAAAACAAATAGGTCATTCTTAGAGAGGGTGAAACAAAGTCTCTCCTTGGTGGCTAGGATTTTGAAGCTCTGCTTCACTTACTTTGGGCACGTGGCCAGGGGAGATCATTCCTTGGAGAAGGACATCATATTCAGAAGAGTGGATGGACAGCACAAGAGAGGAAGACTCCAGATGAAATAGATCGATACTGTGATTGGGGCAATGGGGGTTGGTGTGTCCGAATTAGTGAAACTGTCTCAGGACAGGGAAGAGTTCAGAGCTGTTATACACAGGGTCCCTATGCATCGTAGGTGACTCAATAGCACATAACAACAATAACATACTGTGACAAGTTTGGAAGCAGGATTGGCATCCACTTCCTAAACAACATGTCTCTGTAAACTATGAACTTTGATAAATGTCGATAGTTGCAGAGGGGCTTCAGACCTTTTGTTCAAAGGGTTGTTATGAGTGTGCTTGACTCGAAGGCAATCAACAATAATAACAACAATGATAACATATTTTGAAAAAATTACAAACACTTGATTTTGTAATTTTCCAGGTAAATCCTTCTATGAGTCACCTTGTATACAAACATTCTAAGTCAGGAGGTGAGAAAAGTATATAATGTTTTTATCTCTTTTTTAACTTTCTTGCTTCTTAGGGAAGTCATGTTTCTGAATTCAATAAATATTTGATTAAAAAGAAGCCTGCTTCCTAATTGCATCCCTTGGCCGTTGACTTGTCAGCCAAACCTAGGCAAGCAATAAATGAGGACCCTGCATTTACATCAGACTGACACTCCGAGGTTCCACCCACTGGGCCTGTGAAGGGAAGGAATGCTCTGGAAACAGTGGTGCATGATTTGTCTAAACAGGAGCTTTCACAC